CAGTTTTATCACAGTTTTGAAGAGTATTTAAAAACAAAAGTAAGCACGAACGCTTTTGACCACGAAGCCGAGAAAATAATTCGAGAAAATGGTCGCTATTTTATTATCACTTTAATAAAGGAAATACGCCAACGCCTCCCTACAAATATTGCCAAACTAAAAAAAAATGACTTTTTTCGGTTGGAAATGCATTAAGAGTAATTAAACCAAAAGTATTTGTTCAACTACAGCAACAAAAACACAAATATAATGCCGACAAAAAAACATCCATAGAGATGCAATGGCAACGGTTAACGTTACATACCTGGAGTAATTTAGACTCAACTGTAAAATTTTGGGCCGAAGTTTATCAATTTCGAAATGCCCTAGGAGAAAACCCTTTTGCTGACCTTTGCAACCTAGTTTTCTTGTTTTCCCTAAAAGTAATGCAGAAGTAGAGCGAATATTTAGTTCAATGAATATAATAAAAACTAAGCAAAGAAATCCAATGTGCGTTAAAACGTTAAACGCTATTTTATATATAAGATACGGTTTAAAACGTGAAGAAAAATGCTGCCATAATTTTACTGTAGATGACGATCTCTTAAAATTAATGAATTCAGGTGATATATACAATAGTGATTCATTTGATGATGAGGAATATACACTCGATATAAGTTAATGGTGTTAACTAGTCTTTCGTTTCTTGCGATTTATTTAAATAAAGCATGTGGATTTTCACTAAAACATTTTAGCCGTTTTTTGCCAGAGTCTATGTGAAATTTCACTAAAACATTTTAGCCGTTTTTTTTTGCCAATCTAGCCGGTCGGCCCAAAAAGTTCTGGCAACACTGTCTCCCACTAAGAGTCGAGTATACTTGTGGGCCGCGGCGACTATGCGCCACAAATCAATAAAAAGCAATGTAGCCCATTGCAGCGTTAAGTTTGCCGACACCTCGCACAGTGGAAAAGTTAGAAGCAGTCGGCGTAGAACCTCCATTTTCCATATTGGTATTTCCAAACTGGCATTATGTGACGCTCCTATGACAAAATTTAAAAAAAAAAAAAATAATTGACAAAATAAAAATTTTAAAAAGGTTTTTCAATATCTGCTTGACAATTAAATGACCCCTTATTCACTAAAAAAATTACAACTGTTGGTAGTAGCGATTTAAAGATATTAGTTAACTTACGCGCTGGCGTGACGTTACAAAAAACAGAACTGGATTTGGACTTCGATTACAAAGTTGCAAAACTTTGCAAATTGGGGCAAGTCTATTTGTATAAAAGCTTTTCTATTAATATTGGAATTGTTTAAGGGTAATTTTCCTAGTTTTGAATGTAAAAATCTTTTCTGCTTTATGCTAAATTATCTGACTTGACGTTAACTGGCGTTACGTTGCTTAAATTTCCATTGAAATTGTTCTTAAAAGAATTTTTAACGGGATGAAAACATGCATTTTAGGTCGAACGTACTTTTTGTTTTGACATCAGCGCCACCAGCGGTTTAATTTTTTGGAAAATATCTGTCCTACTACGTTTCAACTAAATGTGAAACAAATCAGAGCATAAATACGGGTTTTTAAAATACCTCGACCCTTAAAAAGGGGGCCAATGAACATAATCCGAAATTTTACCCATACTAATAATATTATAACTAAAATCCGAAAATTGGGAGTAATCGGTTTATTTTAACACATACCTCCCATGCAAACTTAACCCCAAAAACGTCTTAAACTACAACAAATGCCATCATTACTAGATGAGGTTACGTTAAAAGTCGCAAATGTGAGTAATTTTTTTTTTCAGAGATCGATAGGGAATATTCCGGTATTCCATTTTTTTTATAGTAAAAAGGCGTAGAAAGATGGATTTCCTTTATAAGTTTTTGTCCATAACAAGTGTCAAAGTTAGTATTTATAAAGTGGCATTTTTGTCTGCTAATACATATTTATTAAAATATTTGCTCGATTACCTTATTTTTTCAATTTAGTGTACGAAATGCTATGTTTTCATATGAACCTACAGCAAAAGCAATAAAAACAAAAGTTATAAGAAAAATACATTGCTTAAGTAAACTAAAATCTCAATCAGTTTTAGTTGAATAAAATTCTTCTGACTGGTGTTGCTTTTATTTTGCACATAATTCAAATACCACTTTCTTAAGCGAAGATCACACGATTTGTACATTTTTACCGTCACCGAGTGGTGTTGTTTAGAAATTTGAGTTCAGCTCAATGAAAGAATTTCCGAACAACACCACTCTGTACCTGCCAAAATGTACAAATCTGTGCAAATGTACAAATCGTGATCCCTGCTTTAATCTAAAGCATTCAAATATAAAAAAATGAATATTCCAAAAGTTGTATTTTTTCCGGCAAAATGCCACTGTGCGCCGGTTGGCTAAGGCGAAAGGGAGAAGAAGAGTTCGGGATTATGTTACAGACTTCATCGAATACTCAGTGCTGCAGACTGCGTGGGTGGACGCTCGCCTACTTAGGCGATGATAAAGAAGTATAGAAAATTCGTTGAGATTTGGTTTTTCCATATATCCTTATATTTTTGGCTTTCTTCATTTTAACTTTTTTATCTTTGTCTTGGTTGTGGCGAGACGCTCAACGCAAGAATTGAGCTTGTGCATGGATATTAAATATTAGCGGGTGCTTTAAACAATGAATTACGGGAATAAAATTCAGTTTACAGGAACAATGGGATTTTTATGCTGTTTTATTTTTAACACACTTAAATACATACATATACAATACATACATACGTACGTATGTTAAATGCATATAAACGCTACAGAACATAATAATTTTTGCAGCTATTTGGTTGTCTTCCGCAACCTAAAATTTAGTCCCTTCATTTGGCCAGCTATAATCCACCATCAACTTTTAAATGCTATATGTAACCAATGGCGTTGTCATTTCGTCAAATTGTTACTTCAACCACTTTCGATTTGACATAATTTTGCCACGCTCTCTCACACGCAGCCACCTGGGCTTCAACCTCAGCCTGCAATTTTCCGATTTGATACTTGTCCAGTTCCAATTTCATCACCATATCTATACTCCATACTGCGCTTTCCGCCATTAACACCGCCAGGCGGTTCCTTAAGCTTATCCGCTAATTTTAAAAATTTTCGCAAATATTCGAATTTGTTGGCGGGGTTGGTGGTGGTGGTGTTCGAGTTGAGTGCCTCGGAAGCTGCGGAAGCATCCAGAATATTAATGTAGTGATTGATCATTTTCACCTTCGACGACACAAAATCACTGCGTCCTACAACTGGCCATATCTCCTCATTTAGCTTGGTCAATGCCTCTACGATTTCCTTCAATTTCTGTTCAGTTGGGTCGATGAGATTCTGTTCCTGCAACCAAAGGTCATTCATTGGCTCGAGGAGCGGCCCAGCCGTGGTTGTGGCTAAAGCCAACTCATTGGGGCGTGCTGTAAGTTCTTCTTCTATCGGCTCATCAGGATGGAGGTTATTTTTCACGGTAACACGATTATTTTCAAATATTAAAGTTTTATTAATAACACCTTCATCCTCAGAGGAATCGCCAGATTTTACATGAAAATCCAATGCAAAGCGGAAGAGCACATTGGCATGCGCAGGCTATTTAATAAAGCAAACAAGAGATTTGCATTGTTAATGTTGTTGTTTTTTTTCTCATGCACTCGAGCACTTTGTAAACAGTTTTTCCTTTTTAATTACCTTTGATTCTTTGACGATTGTAGTGGTAAGGGCTAACAATAATAATCGCATCCGCAATTGCATTGCGATGCTGTAATCCAGTGTTTCGAAGACAAACTAATTGAATATTAAAAAAAAAAAATGAATTTTTGAGGCTAACTGGCGTCATTTTTCGCTCTCAACAAATACTGTGACAACAGCCAGATTATCGCTTAACGGTGCTCATAATTATAGAAAGATCAGGCGAAGTTCAGAAGAGATTAAAGCAACTTTCGATTCTGACGTCTGTAAATGTTCATACATATGTACATACATACATACATAAATATATAGTGCGTGTGTATTTATGTATGTATGTGAGTCAAACTGCCAACTAAGGACTAACATGATAAGGGCTAATTAAAATTTGCCTCTAATTTTTTGTTTCAGCCGGCTCAAGTCTTCGATACCTCCCTTCGGGCAATAGAGAGTTTCATATAAACAAATGTATGTACATATATGTACATATGTAGTTGATCAAATTGGGGTACTCCTTTGAGGCTTTTTATGCATATACATGAGACCTCGTCAAAAAAATAAAAATCCTTCTCTTTTGAGGTCAATACAATTTTTTAGGATTAATCAAAATGTTTTTGTTATTTTATGGCCTTATAACAATTATATTCAACAATTTTTATTGAGCTCGAATATAATTAATCAATATGTTCAAAACTGTATGAAACATTGAATGTGCGTCATTTTAGTGTTGTACAGACCGAGATTCTTTGAATTCCTAATTGTTCTTTTGTAATTACTAGATTTGACCCAAAGTGGGCAACCGATTGAGAAAATATATAGTTTCGAAGTTTAAAGAATCTCAGCCTGCATAATACTTAAATGGAATGTAATCATTTAATACATACGTTTATAAGTAGTTCTCAAACTTGTTTTCATATTTTTATTTTAAAACCGAAACTAAATTTGAGGAACGAAACCAAAACCGAAACACTTTGCAAAATCGAAACCGGAACGTTATTTTGATTCGCTATTTGATATTTTTCTGAAAAAGGAATTCATTAAATACATTTGGTATTTGAACTAATAAAGGGACACCTCATTAATAAGTTCAGGTAGTATAAAGTGACTTTAAGGAATAAGCTCATCAGCGTTTGGTTAAAAGAAAGTTAATTAAAACCGGATAAAAATCAAGACCTGTAGACCGTTTTGTCCACGATCACCTTAATTTTCCCCACTGTATGCCGCCACCAACTGGCAGATGGCTCCAATGAGAAACCTTTTCATGGCAGTTATAAACTCTGAGGTTAGCTATTGCATCCCGAAGAGCAAGCGATACATTCATAAAAGAGTCCTGGTTAACACAAAATCCGCCATCAAGTAACTGGGTATCATATTAGATGCAAGGCTATGTTTCAATGAACACCTTGAATACGTTTGCGAAAGAGCTGCAAAAACATGCGGAGCTTTATCAAGAATAATGTTCAATGCATTATACCAAACAGAACGAAGGCAAATTTTATCCGGACACTAAGTCTTACAGACGTGGTCTGGCATCTATATACATACAGAATTCGCGCCCCAAGGGTTTGCTCTACATTTCGTCCAGTATCCGAAGACACAGCCTTTGTTGTCGATACATTCGCAAAGTGGCAAACGCGAAGAGACGCAAGTGGAAATAAATGGACGTTGGACGCACCGTTTTATACCAACACTCGAATCATGGATAAACCGTTCCCATAATGAGGTAAATTTTCAAATAACCCAGTCGCTTACAAGTTATGGATGCTTTAAGGCTAACCTCACACGCTATCTGAACGATCTGGAAGACACTGACACATGTGTTACCTGCGCTGGAAGCGATACCGACGGCGAAAACGTATTCTACTAGTGCTGTGGATTCGCCAGAGAACGGAATAATTTGCCAGATATCTTTAAAGCAGACCTAAAACCTAAAAATATTGTTGCAAATATTCCTCAATCCCCAGGAAAGTTAAATGCAGTTTCCAACGTAGCAGCAGGATTCATGCACAAACTCAGAAGAGTTGAAAAAAGACAGAAGAGGAATCTTGGTGAGTTAACTCAGTATCTTGGCCTATCCTGACCCATATAATCGATACGGTGGTAGCATGAAATGACTAATAAGCTGAAAATGCTAGAACGTTCTTGTGAGATTCGTGCGTGCTCAAACTGCCTCCCGATGAAATACTTGACGGTAGTTCCGGGCGGAAGTGTATGTACTACTTATGTATGTATGTACATATATACTTTTCCTTATGTATTTACATGCAATAAATATGCAGCCATATCCCTGCTTCATTCAATTGCATTCGGTGCAATGAATTCTCCCTGTTATGAAAGCGTCTGCAACTTTGCGCGGGCACACCGTTAATGGTGGGTGGGTTGGCTGTCTGGTCGTTGAACTGTAGACCCAACATAATACATACATAAACACGAACGGGTTTAATACACAGAATATACATACATACGTTGTCCTTTGTTTACCAAGTTCATTTACATACATATCTTTCTGTTGGCGGCGGTAAATTTATAGACTAATCTTTAAACTCGAATGTTGAACAAAAACAAAAATGGTGTGTTTAAACCTTAAAGTTCTTTTCTTTGCTTTTTTTTTGTACCTTATGCTTTGTATATATGCACATTGTACATACATATATGTATGTATGTATTTTGAAAGAGTCAGCATTCATATGTATGTATGTATGTACACATCAATGCAAATAGGGCCGATCAACAATATGTATGTATGTAGGTGTGTACATATAACACTTTTTCGGAAATACGTTTTGACGTAGAATACGTCTTACCTTAAGGTATGGGGGCTATGTTCAAATGTTGTAGTTGTAATTTTTAGAGCTTCACAAAAACGCTTACTGCACGAGAACTAATAAAGCGATTTCAAAGAAAAGTGTGGCGTTTCAAAGATAAAATTCCAAACCTGTCGACAGATTCATTTTTGTAAATAACCAATTCGGTTTCTGTCGTAAAAAACCACGGTAAACATTGCCTTATTTTGGGGTCAATTTTGAGCCTTTAAAGTGCTCTAGCAACTTATTGTTGGCATATATAACTTTCATTTTCGGGATATAGGTTCTTTGGAGCAGTAGAAATATTATCGGGTACAAATTTTATATAAATTTAACAAATAATATTGAGCATTTTAAGGCAAAAAATTGTTGAAAAAATTTGCAAATTTTTTTCATTACCAAAATGCTCGAAAACCGCTCGAATGATTTTGTTTTTGTTTTCTTTAATCAAAAATTCAAGAGTTTTCCTTTCGTTTGGTATATGGGAAGTATTGGTTGATATCTTCTATATATGTTTATTTTATTCAAATATATGGGCATAAATGATTTTCCATACAAAATCACCTCGTCATCATTTTGCAAACACGTGCATATGTTGGAAGTGTGGGAAGGAGACAAAAAGTATGTATGCGTATGTAATGCGGCTTTTGATAAACAGAGGCGCGCTATTTATAACCTAATCGCAGCGTGTGTACATATGTAAATACATACATACGTACATATGTTGTTTGCAGTTAATGTGGATCTGTTTCTATTTTTAGTAATCTATGTATGTCTATACATACATATGTACATACATATTATATATGTACAATGTATTTCATGAATTTCACTTCAGTCTGCTTTCAGTTTTCATGAGAGTAACACTGCGCTTCGCCGTTGAATATTTTTATTCGTAATTTTAGCGCGTTGTTGCCACCTATATACTATGTAACAATGCCCAAAATGGCTGCGTATGAGTGCCAATTATAGTTTTTGGTTTTAAGAAAAGCCAATAATGCCCAATGCTTGTTACGTGGTAATACGACTACTTGGAATCGTACTTTTAATATAAGGCAACATTATTTGTCATGGTAAAAAAGTCAAACTGCCGAACTGTGTAAACCAATTTAAAGTGTTTTGTAATGAGTTTTATGTATATATGTATGTACGATACGGCAATTTAATATATTTAGTATTATTTATTGAATACTGAGTTTTTTACAAAGTTTAGAAATTTTAAATTCGTGAATTTTGTTGTTGAATAAACTATCATTTTTTAAAACATTAGTTTAATGAAATTAAATTAAAAAAACTTTTCCTGCGCGTACATATGTACTTATAAAAATTAATTTCATAATTCATTATTTGAAATTATTTCTTCATTATTTTTTTATTATATTTTATTATTTTCGTTTCATGTTCATAATACAAATTAAATATAAATTTGTAAGAGCGTTTTCTAACACGCGCAAAAAACGACGCACTTTTGTACAATATAGAAAAGTGGCAACTGTTACTCAGCGCGATTCACGAATACCATGACAAAATGAGACTGTATTGGTGTGCCCATCTATGGCATAGACTGTTGACAACTGTCGTTGCTTGCGCTGATCTGCTCTTTTGCCAGAGTGCCAGGCCACTTGCTCAATTTGGTGAATACCACTATTGAATGCTAAACGCCATCTGTTAACTCACAGATGTCACTGGAAATATTTGTTGACTGATGGCACCAGTGGTGCCAGATTGTGGGTAATTTCCCTATTTGAGGGATATTTTGCATCAAAAATTATTAAAAGGGAAAAAAGGGACACTTCATATAAATAAGGGATTTTCTTTTGACGCAGTTATTATTGCATAATTGATCAAAATTCAAGAATATTCGACATTCTTACGAAATTAATCGTTCTGAAGATGTGATGTGGAGTGAAATGGTATATGATTGTTAAAAAGTATAAGGACAATTTCGAAAATGTTCTTACCTTAACCAACTCAAGCGCTGAGTAAGAAAGAATATTTTCAGTTGTAACTGGTGTTTCATGTAAAAAGCGGAACAAATTATCTGATGAAATGTTAAATAGCACATGAATGTGCTTCAATTTTAAAGTCACCAAAAAATTCTTTTAGGCCCTTAGTGAGTGAGCAAAAAAATGAAAGGGAAAAAATGAATGAGTGAAAAAAATGCAGAAAAAGGGGTTTTTTCTTAACAGCGGTCGGCCCTCGACAGGCAACGGCAAACCTCCGAGTGTATTCCTGCCATGAAAAACAGCTTCTCATAAAAATACACTCGCCATTCGGAGTCGGCGTAAAACTGTAGGTCCCTCCCCTTTGTGTGATATCAAGGGGACCGCCACAAATTGGAGGAAAAGCACATATGAGTAAGCGCCAAACTATTATTATTATTTTATATGAATTTTACTTCTTTACTACTGAAACATGTATATGTTTAAATTTGTTGGGAATTTTGTGGGATAAATTTTCAAGATGTGGGTAATTGAGGGATTTTTTCCCCATTTCCGTGGGATATTTAACAGAGAATGTCTGGCATCACTGGATGGCACACAAATGTGTCTGTATGTATTATTGGAAGTTAACTTGTAAATTTTTGCCCCCTTTTCTTACTTTCTATCAAATATATCGAGCATGTGCTGGAAATTATGATGGCGTCCTTTCCCGTTTAATAATATTAGGTATAAAAGGAAATTCTTGAGAAAACGGTTTCATTTGAAAATAATTCTTTGCACATGTACATATGTTATAGTGACATTGATAAACTCACTTCTCTTAAGCCATGCCGCGCATACGAAGATGCAAGAAAAGTTGGCGCATAAATATTTCAAGAAACTGTTCATCAAATGCAACAGGTAATTTTGTGTTACACTTATTTAAAAAAAATATATTCAAAAATTGTAAAATAATATATTTTACATATTCAGACATTGTTACAGAAGCAACAACAACAGCAACCGCACCAGCAACTGCTACCACAACAACAACCGCAGCAGCAACCGCAACAACAACAGCAACCGGAATAGCAACAACAACCAATGTAGCAGGTAGTTTTCGTGTTATTACGTATAAAGTTTCAAAAGCTATCAGAAAAGCAACAACGGCAATATTGCTTTTGCTTTTCTTTGAAAAGTTTGATTGTGTATATTCATTATAGTATTTATTTACGTATATAAGTAAATTCTGATAAATTATTTGGTTTTTTTTTTTGGTTATTTACATGTATGAGCTGAGTGCGCTTACATATTTACATACGTATGTAACGAAATGTTGACTATATTTTGAGATAGTAGGTATAAACGCGTTTTCGGTTTTTCTCTGAAGTTAGGAATATTTTGAGAGGACTTTGAAATTTCGTAGAAGGGATTAATGAAAAAAAAATTATTTAGAAATTTCAGCGCATGTAGAATAACATTGTGGGTATCTAATATAAAATAAAATTCTGAAGAATTGAGATTGAATTGTGTTCTTTTAAAAAATTTCCCTCGATAATTTTTGAAAATGTTCAATAGTTATCAGGGTAGGCAAAATTCGGAGTTCGCGCGAGTGATCGAGAAAACTCGTACTCAATGCCTCGCAGGCAACGAGGCGCTCGCAGCTCGTACTCGTAGCAGAAATGAGGTGCGCCACGAGAAGTTTGGCTTGCTTAGCAAACCAGCGAGCGCCGCTTGTTTTCACGTGCTCCTATTAAACTAGCGAGGCTGCTGTGTGTTGCCTCAATCGCAGGGCTTTCGCTTATATTCTCATTGAGTTCTTTTCACTTAGAAGTATGTATGTAAATTTGTAAAATTTTGGAAAAACCCTTTTTTTCTTAGTGTGTGATTTCGTTTTTGACTTGGATATGCTCTTAACCATACCACGTATTCTACGTTTAAATATAGCGGCCTGCAGACCAAGACGAAGGCGCTGGACTGTTCCTTTTTTCCATATTTTGTTAGTTTTCTTTCAGACACGCTTCTATACTAAAATTAAAAGCCATATCTTAAAAAGTACGCGATTTATTGCCATCAGCTCTGAAATCACTTTCAATGGAAATTTAAAAAACGATTTTTGTTTCTCAAATTCTTGAATAGAGCCTTTTGCTCTGATGGTGATTATTTGTTAGCGCAATTAGGTATTAAAAAGTCAAAATCTGCCTACAAAAAACCTTTGCGATTTAGTAAAATTTAATCATATTAAAGAACTTTAAGAACCTAACAACATATTCAGCTCGGGCAGACAATTTTGAATAATCGCAATTCCCTATAATCCATTTTATCTGTATGTATGTATGTATCTACATATGTATGTTTATTTGTATGTAGATATGTATGTCTGCGATAGGTACGCACGGCCTTGGCTAGCAGCGTGCAGTGACAATGGCTTTCCTTCAACTTGAAAAGGATACAACAACAATAACCAAAGTCTTAGTGTCGGGGAAAAATCCATAATGCCCGGGGTCGCATAAAGTAGCGTCTGCAAAAATTTCAATGTCAGATCGGCTGAGGCAGCTAAGCTTAAACATATGTATGCATGTATGTATGTATGTATGTATGTACATACGTACATATGTAAGCCGACAGTGCTATCGAAGAAGGATATGTCTATGACAACGTAACCTGGACAAAACACCTCCGCCATCTTCCAACAAACAGCTATTTAATAAATAGATGCAAAACGAAATTAAATTGCATTCTCTCGTGATGCATTGCATAAATTTAAAGCCATATGTATATACAGTGACAAACAAATGTATTGGTACAGTGAATTTTTCGCAATATACGCAAAGTTTTTTATTCTAATTTATTTTCAATCATTTTTTATAAAAATATATTCATTTTTACACCAGATAACATAATAATAAAATCTCTAAACTTTGTGCAAAACTCAGGCAAATTCAATAAATTTGCACACTAATTTTCAACTTTCTATTCAGATCGTTTAGAAAAATTCTAAGTATACAGTTTTATAGTCCATTCAATTTTAGTATAACAAAATAAAATGCAAGTTTAAAGTTGCTGGAAGACCGCCTTGATTTTTGGCAATTTTTTTTAATGGAAGGTGTTGCTCATTTTCCCCATACAAAAAATAATTGTCGAATATACATATACATATATATATGGAAGAACTTGCGGGGGAAAAATTACCAAAAATCAACGCGATTTTCTAGCGTCTTCAAACTTGCACTTTGAATGGACTATAAAACTGCATACTTAGAATTTTTCTAAAAAATCTGAATAAATAATGAATTTTCCTGCGTTTTGCACAAAGTTTAGAGATTTTATTATTATGTTTTCTGGTGTAAAATGAACAATATTTTGATAAAAAATTATCGCAAATGTATTAGAATAAAAAAAAACTTTGTATATATTGCGAAAAATTCACTGTGCCAATACATTTGTTCGGCACTGTACATACTACGCCTGGTTAAAATTTATATGAGCGCATTAAACAATTTGTGTCTATATTAAATAAATGGTAGGGCTAACAAACGCAGTCTGGCACGTTCTGCAGTGATGGCGGTGAGGTGAGGTAGCAATCGTTATTTGTCAAGGTCGTGTCCTTGAAAAAGCTAACAAAACATAAAATACAATCGACAACAAATACGCATAGATATACATAATTTACTAAAACATTGTCCGTATACTAATACGCGCAGAAACAAAGCACTTCACCCCTGCAATTATTGCTAGATATGTATACATATTAGTTTGTACAAATGCTATACTCACATATGTATGTACATATGTATTTATGTAATGATATGTACAGACATACATACATATTAATGTATGCACATGTGTCTGACTTTTTTCCATGTTAAGTATTTATAACTAAAACTGCATTTATCTACATATCTAGTCTAGTTATTTAATTAGAAACGAACGCTGCAGGCAAGGTTAAATACATAAATGGTTAGGACGGTTAAATAGAGGGGCGAATGGGACGGCTGCCTGCTCAATATATTCCGTTTTGTAACCACCCCATAGAAAAAGTGTATTTGTGCGTAACATATCCGCGTTTCAGTGTAAACATTTTCACATCTAGCATACACAAAACAATTCCTTTGTTCCTTTTCAACTTCGGAGACTAAAACCTGTGGAACTGTGAAACTACAATTTTTCCCTCTCAAAAGTGCGAGTAAAACGAGAATAGATGCAGAACGGTAACGCAAAAGCACTGATGTTGTTCACACTTGCCTGGTTATCTGGTTAAAAATTATTTATGTGTAGTGTATAACTGAATAAAAAAATATAACCATATAATCACATAACTTGATAACCAGGCAAGCGTGAACATCCTTACTATTTCCTGAAAAAAAGTCAGTGGTTTGTTTACATGCCATTGGTACAAGACTGTTTCCGCTGAAAGATCACTAAATACTAATTACTAAAATCTATACAGTTGAGAATAATTACGTACATATTCAAATATTTCTTTGTTTATTTCCATTTTTTAATAAATGTACGGTTCTTTGCTTTCATAGTGTTCTGTTTGTTTCTTCACAAATGCAACCCTGCCCATTAGCGTAGGCCGAAAATCCGCGTTTTTAGAATTTTGATTAATAATAGCAAAATAATGGTTCAGTATGCTCTAAAACAATATGTGTGGAAGATGACAATTTTTGGTCAACATCTTAAGCTGATGTCACATAAAACTTTTGCTTCGCTTTACGTGACAGATTCGCTTTGACAGATAAGATGAATTGTATGAAAATGCACAAAGCATGCCACATAAATCGTTGCAGCGGCAGCGCGAAGCGAAAAGATGGTCAACTCCCATCTTTTTGCGC